GAATATAATGACACCGATATTATGTACGCAAGAGAAAAAATTTAATGTAAATTTGAATGCATACAAAAAACATAAGTTGTCAGGAAACCACCATGTCAACGGGCTTGGACACTACATAAAGCAAGGATATGGAGTATAGCAACTCTGTATCAAGTAGTGGATGGATGGATTTAATGAAACGCGACTTTGGAGCAGCATGGGAAACATGAAAGTGAGACAAGGAAGCACTATGGAAAAGATACGTGCAAGCCATGATACTAACATTTAGTACCCATATATGTATATCGAGTTTCCGATAAATAATTCTGTTACAAGATACCCTTGTCTCCTGCAGCTAAAACACTCCTGAAGATTCGATCCTAAGCCCTGAGACCCCGAGTTTCACGGGGAATAAAAAATCACGGAAGAAAAAGTGTTCACACTGGCTTAGGCGTTGTGTGGAAGCAATTTATACCTGTACTGACAACTGTGCGTTTTCATATTTGTGAGGTCTAGGTGTGTAGCTTTATTTTTTGACAAGCGCACGCACTAGCTTAGGAAGCACATACGCAGTGTTACGGTAGCTGTAGCCTGTCCACTTCATATTCGGCTTCAACATTCGACGTTGCCGTGGATGCGAAGACTTCAACTGGAATACTCTGGAATCTGAATCAAACAGCGCTAAAATGATGACTGGAATTGAACACAGTAAATACTGCTTAAATGAACCTTTGCTCATCTGGTAATTACCCGGATGCTTTTAGTTTTATAATTCACGCAGTTACACTAGGCATCACAACAGTGGCGGCATGCATGGATCAATCTGAATTTCAAAGCAAACTCTACTAAAATAGGTTTAGTTGAAAGTCGTTTAGGGATGCCCAAAGTTATCTGAGATTTCTCAAGCGCCTAATTCTCCTCGAACTATGGGACGTGACTCCAAAACCTTTCCAAGATGAATTTACATAACGCAGGAAAATGAATAATATGCCTAGTACCGTAACATGTCTCGAAATTGACGAGCTTGTATGTAAATGACCAGTATTTGTGGTTTCTGGAGATGTAGTTTCGTTCTGAACAAACGTTAAAATACCTTCCGAGAAATTTACTTGTACAAATATGAGGACTGGTCTCCTAAACTTCACGTACTGACATCACCGTTGTCACGACGTGTGACATCACCTCACACTTTCCTCCAGAGTTTACTGGAAATGTAGGCCGAGAGTTCTCGATCAACGTGACCCTCACTTCAAAAATATTCCAAATTGACACAAAATGTGACCTCTGATGAGCATTGGGGTAATACGGCCTATAGTATCAGCCATTTCATTGAAAACATATAGATTCGACTAATGGTGGCTGCTTGAGAGCTTTAGAACGAGCGTAAAGTCGAATCTGAACCAATCGAGAAGTCTCAAACTTTAAAAATAGCAGGCCATGACTGTCCTGAAGGAGGCCGTTATTATTATTAATAACAGAAGTTTGAAAACGCCATTTACCTCACCACATCGACGAAGAGCCCATGGTGACTGTGTCACCTAAGATATGTCTGTGGGTCCGGGAAAAGATAGGGTGATCAGTCTGTAACGGCTCCATTAAACTGACAAGGAACAAAACACTTCATCCACCTGCTCCGAAACTCGAGTAACTCCAAAACTCAATCAACAATCTGACTCAGAATGTGGACATCTGCAAATGTTGGATGGTAAAATGCTTCTCATATATGTCAACTGATTTCATCCTTTTAATAGATGTCTGCTTTGTGATGTTTGGTTGATATTTAGTCTGTTGATTGATTGTTCCCATTTCTAAATCCCTGTGTACATTCCTGTATTTTTATTGTAACTCACTAGTTGGTAGATTAGAAAATACGTATTTTGTACCTCTCAATGTGTTCTCTCTCAACACTTATTTCGTCCTGCATGCGCCTCGGAGAATAACTTCTTCACAAAGAGAAAATATGTTGAATTCTCCAAGCTTGTATTCAAAAAAAGATTCTCGATGTTATGTATTAATTTATCTCACTCCATGTGTTGCTGATCACTCTAAACCCCTACTCAAAACATCAGACGAAGTGCCATGTAGTCAGTATTGCATAATTTGTCTGCGTTTCATTATTCTATGCGTCAGCCGTGTGAGTAAGAATGATTGCTTTCTCGGGTTCAGCATAATGGCTGAAACAAAAGCGAACTGATATCCCAAAAACTTTCTTCCACATGGCAATATTCATCGGATTCAACTCATCTTTTAACATCAAAAAGCACCCAACCCTTTTTAACGTAACTTTTCCTTTTCAGACACTTTTGCCAAATTTTTCACAATCGCATATCGTTCTAGTCAGAGTGCCATAGGTAACTGTGAGTAAATGAATCCACTTTGTACACCAGTTTTCTTAAGACTAATTTAAAGACTTTAAATTAAGACTTTTAACATTTACCCCTTGCATTTAACAAATAAATGGTATCATTAACTAAGTTTCTGATAAACAGGCTCAGGAATCTGCGTCACACTTTAAAGATCTGCATGTTGGATGAAATTAGTTATTCCGACTTAACCCTTCCTCATAACTGCAGCAAAACATAATATTACACTTTCGCGTCTTGGTTGTGGAGAGGACCAACAATCGAAGGACTAGTCTTGAAGCCGAGCTGTGCTGACGGTTATTTGTGAGTTTTTCAGCTGAAGTAAAGGCGACTATACTCACTGATATCTAGTTGCGACGTTGGTTAATTTATACATGAGAGGTAGATTAAACCGGTGGTTTTACTAAATGCAGTTAATTTCACTGGTTAAAGTCAAGTTTTGGGTACTGTGTCACTAGCAGGCCACAAATACTCGGTCTAGAATGTATTGTGAACCAACAGTAGCATTTCCTACTGACAGCGTTCAAGTAACAACAGATAGCAATCGAAAAATTTCTGTCCTGGAGAACTGGATGCATCAAACGAATCTACACCCTTTGACAGAATTCTAGAATCAGCGGAAACCTAAAAGTTTGCATATCTTCTACTCTAGAAATGGAATTTTATTGTGGTAAACCAGGAGCACTGAGTAAGTAGATACTCACAGTAAAGTGCAGACGTTTCATGTGTTCCATATACTGTTTTTTGAAGGCAGTGACGAAAATTCACGAAGACTTAGAGACAATTTTCACACAAATATGTATCAGTCATTAGATTTCGCCTTGTAGCTTATGTAAAGCTCACATGCGTCACAGAAATATGTGGTGTAATAGCTAATAGGTGAAGTGAAAGGAGCATACAGGAACTGGTTGTAAGCATACCATTCACATATTTCTCACTGTATAAGGGGAAGATAAGGTTCTCCGGGATCTGTAGGGATGGGATTGAGGTAATGGCTGATGTCATGCACCGTAAATTTGGAATTTTTAACAGTTACACAGCTGTTTATTTGCCATTCGCTCTTTCTACAGTAGAAATACTACTGTTTAACAGAATTCGAAGAAAAAAAACATATTTCTAATTTTAGGGTGCATTCAGAGTTTAGGAGTTTAACAATAGCGTCCCAGGAGTGCGAACGCTTCAGTGACTTTGAACTCTTGGTAGTCGTTGGCTAACGACACTAGAATATCAACTCTATTCACTGACTAAGATTCAAATTTCAGCCAGATCACGTTTTTAAGTACTGTTTGGACAATATGTCAATAGCTCTTCAGGGTTAGGATTAGGGTTGAGGTATCATTGGGTTTAGGATTCGGATCGGGATCATAATTAGGAATGGGGTTAGGTTTACGGTTAGGATAAGGGTTGTAATTAGTGTTAGCATTAACTCTAGGGTTTAGGTCAGAATTAAGGTTAGGGTTACGATTAGGGATAGATTTATATTTGATGTCATTTGTTTTATTATCCACATTTTCATGGTAAGTAGTTGTCGATCCCCTTACTGGTAACCATAGTAATTCAACGGAGGACTTTTAGGGAAGACTGCACAACAGGATAAGAGGGATAAATAATTCACAAAAACAGCTCATCTCCTGTCACCTCGGTGGATACATGTACAGAAACTAGTGCAACTTAGCAACTGATACACCTCATTATGACTGGGACGTATCTTTAAGTCATATCAGAGGAAGATACTCTTTTTAGTGTGTTTTCATACATTTTATTGTAAATATACGTCAATGTTTGTGCAAAAATTCCTCAATCTTATGACTGGTCGGCTGAAGGTCACTGGTGGGTCTGCATCCTTGGGACTCTATCGTTGGACTTGGCCTTTTGCAGTTATTGTAAGTAACGTCACATAATGTTCACAACTCATGAACTCATCATTGTTGTAATAACCTGTCATATTCGGATGGCATAAAATTATGTCTGTACATTTGTTTGGCGCGCAGTCTACGGGCGACCTTGAGAAGGGGTCGGTCCGTCACTTGCGTCCTTGAAACACCTAGGTTAGGTAATTTGAGTGTTGCCGGTACGCCTTAAAATGTTCTTTTGCAATTTATGATATCGTGAATGCAAGTTATTTGAGAACTGCTACGTCGTCAAGTATTAGGATTATTTATTGATAAAGGTATGTGAACTCTACGGCTAGAAACACTCTTCAACATACCATGGCAAACAAAATAACGCCAAATCGTGATGATGTTTATTCTTAGTTGGAACATTTATGTCACAAATGTTTGAAAACTTATCTGGGATGGATATTATCTCACATATGTAACCACATTAAGTCCAATTACTTTAGATCAATCACAGTGTTGACTCAAGGCAAGTTTTTGAAATCATCTGCTATTTTGCTATTGATAAACCGGCAAAGCAGTAATGCGACGTCTCATTGGTAATACCATGGCAGTCATGTATGAACAAATTTTGTAATGTAGGACGACTACACTGTCGTGTCCATCCAGAGGTTTCAAGGTCACCGGTTTCTCACTATCCCCAGTCAGAATTACACACCCTTTGAATTTGCATTCGTCTGTTTTTGCAATACCCCATGCATTCTACCATCTAATGTGGTTAGCAACTCATTTGAGATTTGGATCGCCCGTAGTTGCACGCCTGATTATTCGAACCGCAGCAAATCTCTAGCGTATACAAACAAACTCATTGCATAAATTCACCGAAAATTAATGAGTTTCGGTGTTAAAAATGCACTGAAAATACCCACCTGTGACCTGTACGTTGTAATAAGTCTCGGCAAACTAGTGAAATTGGTGAACATTGTAACACAAAACCTACACATTTTCGACTAGCAATAGGTTGTTAATGGTTACACCCTGCTAATTTGTACATTTTACTCATTTTTGTGTAATATATGGTGTTTGTCTTATCTATATCAAACGAAAACTTGTACATGTTCGCTCAGCTCAAATTTCATGCCTCTCATGTTGTATTGATTCCTGTCTATGGTTGATGAGTCCTGATTCGTCCGTAATATATTACATTCCTGTTCTTCAGCCTTCAATTACTGCTGCGTAGAATTAACAGCTTTACGTGATTATTTTGATACCCAGTACTCCTGTAGACTTAAGTATATGTCTACACAGAAATCAAAACAGCTAGGCTCCATATATTCCTTTAGAAAATGCGTAGGTAATAATAGGGTTATAAAAACGGAAAAAGCTTTTCGAAATGTACTCACGCGGATCTTTTGAACAACTCAGAAGCGGTAATTGCCTGGGTCAGAGTAATTAGGTTTCATTACTGGATACTCTTGCTGGTGTTATCAGCTAATGCTTGCTATCTCGTCAGGTTTTGCAGGTGAGCTTCGTTTACTCCAAGATGATTAGAATATCGTGCTATCTGAAGTAAATACGCCTAGCACTGTCACCAATACCTGCATAAACATTGATTTTGCTTCATTTATACAGTGGCTGAATGGAAGGTCGTATTGTTATGCGGACGTGGTGCTCTTTATAGGCATCAGTTTCTAAGTTTTTCATTTGGTACTTAAAATATTACTAGAGAAAACCGGTGGCACGCCTCTTCCTTCAACCTTACAAACAAACAGGAAAACAACTCCAGTCCGTTTGTGGTTGTCCCGAAAACCTACTTTGAGGATTTTGGAGAGGTCAAAAATTCATTTGGGGTCCATAAGGAAGAGAGGGGATGGGAGTTTACCGTGCTTGCATGCTTGAAGACACCAATATGGCATCAGAAGTTTGATGCTGCCTTTTGGTCTCTAAATTGTATCCGACTTGCTTTTGTAGTAAGTTCCTCATCCTTTCATTATTCAAAATGCTAAATCTGCCACAAATAGGGTGATGGCCCCAATCTGCATACTTCGGTTAGAAGTCATTTTGTTGATATGTATATATGCTCGGGATATTTTATTCGTGGATTTTCAGTTTAATTTTCTGCGGTATAGGTTACTGTTAAAATCCGTACCACTCACTAAGGTTCTTCAGTCCTCTGTGTTTCAATTTTTTGTCACTTCATCTGCGTTTAATCTTCACGCAGGTATGTGGAATTCAGTATTTGCATCTGGGCGACACGTTATTGTGGGATCTAATGAACGTATAACTGTTCTTCACATAACACGTAACTGGAGGCTACTGGCGATAATGAGGATTGAGAAAAGGCGTTTGATATGTTTAGTAAGATGCAGACTAAAGTGTACGATCGTAGTTCCTGCGTTCAAGTTGTTATGTAATGAAAAATCCTGTGTTTACCTTATATTCTCTGTTGCAGTTAACCTTAGTCATATAACCTAACTCTGGTAATGTCAGAGGGTTAGGTCCTCGTTCATTTGGTAAGAGGAGCTGGCCCACAACTCATCGAATGAATGTACAGAAATTCGAAACTTCCTAGGTGCACTGCTACTGTTGGTATGTCTATAAAAGTTTGTCGTAGCAGCAAAGCCCCGAAACATTCACTTGAAGTTTGCTGTGCATCACTCTTGAAAATTTTAGTCTTTTGTCTATGAGAAAAATCGCCACCATCTTAATGAAGGTTGGAAAGTAAATTCCCCATCCCAAAACATCAGAGGTATTTTTGTAATTCTCTCTGATTTCCATGGGCAACTTGTAGTGTCCTTCTACATTCACTCTTCTCATGATGTGGTGTTTTGCAGCTAAGCTTAAACTACAATTCTGTTAAAAGTTCTATATTAGACTATCGGTTATTTTATAGTGAGATTATTTCAAAAATGTGTTGATGTTTTGTAGAAAGACAATGAATTCTTCACAATTACACTGTGCAGCTTGGATAACGCAACTACACCACGGATTAATATAACATCTGTTGTCCAGACAATTTGAGACTACCGTCTGTCACAGTTACATGTGGGGAGATATCTCAGTCACTTATATTTTGCATCATAATTCTAAGGGACCCAAGTCGTGGTTAGAAATCCTAGGTGACACAATGCCCTTCTCTATCTGTAGGATGATTTTGTACACTAAATATTCTTCTGAATTTAGAATGTTTATTTCTCATTAAGATACATGTGTAGTTTATCGTAATACTTTTCTCTTCGTTGTATTTTTTGCATTGACGCGACCCTGTGTGACTGTTAGACATGATTGCGGTTCCCAAAGAGTAATAATGCTTCAATAGGTAATGTTATTTGCAGAAAGAAGTTAGATAACTTTGATACGGACGGATGTTACTGAAGGGTATTGCATGTTACCACCTGTGTAGACACAAATCTCTACAGGTTAGCTAAGCACATTGATTTGTCATCACAATGATCACTCATCTCGAAAAGGAGATCATATTCTAGTAAGCTAAACAGTTGCAAATGAATTCATAATGTTCCACTATAATATAAAGAATATGTGATACGTACTTTTTTGGTGAATTTCACGTTATTTTCATTTGTATTAAGTTCTTGTGTAGGTTCCTACCATTTGGTAAAAATGCTCCAAATTGATACTGTTTCCTCAGAATATTAAGCATTCTTAGATAAACATCTACCTAACCAGATATTTTAATATTTTCCGGTAATACTCAATTGTCATAGGAAATGCTTCATTGTTTTGCTTTAATCCTGAATTATCGTCTTTGTTTTATGTTATTTTAGATCCCACTTGCTTACATCTAAGTGGTTTATTTGTCATGTCAGATCCGTTCTGTAATGTCAGCGTTACGGATTCTGTTGGCTTGCAGAATAATCGCACCACATATCCAGGATCAAACACAAAGGATTTAAATTCTGTAAGACATGATAACTGCAATGATAATTGCATTCAAAGTCCATTACTCAAGAAAGCTCGACTGTCAGAAATGGCAGTGACACTTCCCATACCGAATGGTTTTAAAGGTGCTTATAGCACTTGTAATCTTGGAAGTTTGCTAGAAATTCAAGAGGAAATCAAGAAAGTTCGATTGGGTTTCGACTCGCAATTTAGACAAGCCCTGAAGGGAAGATTGACAAAATACCTAAACTTGATTGAGGCAGCAGAAAAAGGAGTTAATAGTTTAAAAGACGAGGCAAACCAGTTAACGAGTCGCATGGATTTCATTTTATCTAGCTCAAAAGATATGGTGAAAATGATTAACGACCGGGTAAGTAACTGTCGATAAAGTTTTTACCTTTTGTCGAGGTATTCGATTCTCATTAGGATGCCATTAATAGTTTTTTACTTAGATAGTTTCGAAGCAACTCAGCAGCATGATGCAACTTATTTACTCATATGTGGTTTTGTATATTGCCTGGAATAGATACCTTTGCCTACTCCTACAAGTGCCGCTAGTCAGCAGAGAACTCCTTCTTCACAAGCTCCTCGTCCACCCCTAATTGTTCCTGCGGTTTCGAAGTCAAGTCGACTTGTTTCAACAACCAACGCACTGAACCGTCAGCCAAATATAAGTTCTAATACTTCGCAAGCAAACAATCAGTTGGCAGGTTATACTGCACCTAAAATGACTGCTATTGCCCCTAAAGTTTCTGATGTTGGACTTCGACCTGTACCGGGCACAGTTCTAGCTATTCAAGTCAATGATACCATTGATTTAACATCGGATACTACAATAGAAAACGCCTTGGGAGGACGTTTAATTTCAGGCTCTGCAAATATGTCAAACATAATAGTTACCCCAAGAACAACTCCAAATGTAAATAAACTCAATCATATTCCTCTGTCGAGTAAGTTTGTACAAGTAATTATTCTTAAGCTATAATTTTGTTAAGATGACAATCACAATTAAAGGGATGTGAAACTATATCTTATGTAAAGTTGTATTGGCTCAGTCTGCTATACTTTGTAATAACTCGAAAAGAAAATTCAGTAAAATTGGAAGGTTTACAATATGCGGAAACAAAAGCAATCACCCTAGATGCTGATCAATCAAGTATTTTAAGGAAGAAGATTAGTCTGTTTGCACCATTCCGATTGGATTTAAACTGGTTCTGTGAAGATTTAGTTTCCCTTAAACATGAACAGTTTGTGTAATTCTACAACAATACTCAGAAATCCCATGGGTTGGTTTTATGTTCTAACTGGAACGTTCTTAACTCTTTACCATCTTTACTGTCTCCTGCGTCAAGCAAAACTTGGTAAACCCAGGCAGAAAGTGCTCACAGTCTTATCCGTTGACTTGCTTTTATTATCCTTTGCTTCACGTGTAACACTTGCATTGCTGAAAAAGCGCATCCACTACGTGTAAGGGAAGTTGTATATTAAATAGTGGTTGGAAATATCCTCAACTTTTCACGGCTATGTAAACGGACCGACCGATAGCTGCTACCTTGACGTGGTGGTCGGGCTTGCACATCGCAATGACCCAACAAGCTACACTGACTGGAACCATTGTTCCTACAGGTCCTACCATGCCAAGAAGGTTGTTAGGATAGCGATTAGACTAAAAGCAGTTACCGGCTTCGTGTAAGAACTTATTTTTTGCACTTTGCTTGGGGTCTGTGGGCGAAGTCGTACTGCTGGGAAACAGGGATGTAACAGCAGTGAGGTGTTTCCCTCAGATGACCAGCACGAAGCCTCCCTGGGCATCATTCTCCCTCAGCCACATCACCTTCATCATCTTTCACTCCTTCCACTACAGTTAGTACTATTCTGCAGCCTAGTGAATCATCTTCACTTCACTCTGTGACCACACACATCAGTGAGCGCCGTATAAACACCCCCGACAGCCTCTTCAAGCCACGTCTCCAACTTCATATAGTGGCATTTAACGTCAGGACCCTCTGCCAAATCGCTAGAAAGAACTCTGGTATCTCGAACCATGGTTGTATGTTGTGTTTCGGAGACACACATACAAGACTGGATTGTGATCATTCACTCAACCTCACCCGACCAACAAGGTGAATCTGCGAAATTCACTTTAATGGTGTCAGGAGACCCCTCAGCTAGTTTGTGAGGACTCGCAGGCTTAGGGATAGCATTGAGTGGTAGGGCAGGAAAATCACTTCTTGACTGGATCCCAGTAGATAGTCGTATGTGTGCGGTCCGTGTGAATGGGTCCGTTAAAAGAAGGAAAGTCGGCGCTACCCGTCGTTGCCTTTTCGTAGTCTTCCCTTACTCCCCAACCGACTGCATTTTGAATGAACTAAAGGATGATTTCTACCCGAAACTATCTGACTTGCTGCACAAAGCAAAACGTTCAAATATAGTTGTTTTAGCTGGCGACTTCAGTGGCCCAGTAGGGAAGTTGTACCATATTGAGAAGAATGTAGGTGGTACGTATGGAGTTCCCTGCCGACGAACCGACAACGGTGATCGTCTCCTACAGTTCTGTTGAGATAATCATCTGTTCCTAGTCAGCACTAACTTTAGACACAAAGAGGGAGAGAGATTGCGTAACCTGGTGACCTCCATCACTAAATCAACGCTGGACTAGATAGACCACATGGCGATAGGGTATCGTTGGCGAGGGTCAGTAGAAGACTGCTGCTCCTTCTAAAACACGTGCGTAGACTCTGATCACACTCTGGTTCACGCACGTTTATGCTTACGACTAAATGGACATGAGAAATTGCTGTCAGCGAAACAGTTACGTCCCCAACTAGATCGAGACACTGAGTCCTTATTCAAGGAAGAAGCAGCAAAACGAATATCTGGGTTCGGCAGCAGTACTCCTCCTGAGCTAGCTTGGCACAACATACATTTATCTGTAGACACAGCTGTTAATAACTTGAAACCTAAAACTAGTAAGTGCCACTATATTTCTTCATCCGAACCGATTGACGCAAGAAGACTGATTCCGGCGTGCTCCGATTATGATGAGGAGCGAAAGCTACTCAAACGCAAATTAACAAGAAGCCGTGAACAGTGGTGGGCGACAAAAGCGAAAGAGATGAAAAGGCATCGGCGACTGGTAACACCAGACAACTATTTAAACTTATCAGGGAAACGGGTGGTAAAAGGCAAACGATAAGGGAAAATTTCTGAGAAAAATGGCACCATAATTAGCTCCCAGGATAGACGACTGGAACGCTGTGGAGAACACTTTGAGGAGCATTATTGTTATATGTGTAAAATTTGGGCACTGTGGTAGTAAGTAATTCCATATTAGTTTGTTTATTAGATGTATCACACAGTGAGACAGTATTATTTACTGGATGACGTTTCGAACAAAATTTACTGTTCATAATCATATCAATTATAATCACACGACTTCGAAACTTGAGTTTTATAGTTTTCTTTGTCCTCTCCTATTTTATCATTTTAATTGGCCTACAGCTAAACTCAACTTACCTTTCATCCAACACCTCCCTGAATGGTATATAGACAGGTCCTCCGTCCGTATCTGAGGTTACAAAGGCTGTCACTAGTCTGAAACGAGGCAAAGCAGCAGGACCTGATGGAATGACTCCAAAGGCATTTAAGTACGTTGCAGACAGTTTACTATCTGCGTTAAACAAGGTACTAGGCAGCGTCTGGGTATCAAAGGAAGTCCCGTCCGGTTGGTGTAAGTCATTGACTATCCCGATATACAAGAAGGGAGACAAGTCTTCCTGTGGCAATCACAGGGAGATAAGCTCGACTACTGTGTTATCTAAAGTTATAGGCTCAATAATAATGCGTAGACTAAGCGTTTCATGGGAGAAAAAAACACGAGTAAGCCAGACAGGCTTTAGATCAGGAAGAGGGTGTATTGATCATATCTTCACTCTGACAGATTCTGGAACTCACCGGAGTCCAACAGTCGTCATATTTATTGACCTAAAGGCGCCATTCGACTCTGTGGACCGAGAGGTACTATGGCGATGTTTGGCTGTGAAAGGAATGCCGAGAAAAGGCACTCTGCTCGAACTCATGCAGCCAGGTGAGAGCTTACGGCGAGTTGTCATCTGAAGTGGTGACAACTAGTGGTGTCCGTTAGGGATACCCACTGTCCTCCCTTCTATTCAGTTTCACCATAGATGTACTAATGGAACTAACCATAACTTCAGCGACTCAGAGATTGACTTGTTACCAGGGAATAATCTCGTTGACTTAGAATATACGGATGATATAGTCCTTCTAGGCTAGGACGCTGACAAAATGCAGAGTATTCTGAACACCTTGAGCTGCAGTCTACGAATGTTTGGCATGCGATTCGCTCCCTCCAAATGTAAGATGATGTTACTGGACTGGACTTCATTGACTCCTAGTTTAGAAATAGGGAGTGAAGTGGTAGAGCGTGTTAACCGCTTCACGTATTTGGGAAGTTGCATCAGCCAGCGCCAACAGGTTAGTCGCAGACCAAACCTCAGCACGGATGCAGAGGGCTCGTTTTGCATATGCCAGTTTACGCCATCTCCGGCGTAGACGTGATATCCAGCTATTGACCAAAGGACGTGTGTACTGCTCAGCAGTCTGCTCCGTCCTCCTCTATGGCTGTGAGACCTGGCCATTGAAAGTGGAAGACATGAAAAGGTCGGCTATCTGTCTTTGATCATAGGTACCTGTCTGCGTTCTATCTTCCATGTGAAGTGGTATAGTAGGGTGAGCAATACTTAAGTTAGGCTTCGGTGGAGTGCTATGTAGGGAGGAGAAATCAATCGACGAGGCTGTGAAGCTACATCGACTGAGATGGTTAGGACATGTGTTACACGTGCACGCCTAGCCATCGCCTTCCTCGATGGGCAGTGTTAGCTGACATCGAGACAGGTTGGAAAAGAGCCATGTGTTCAAACCGAAACATGGCCTCATCAGTGAATGAAATCCACAACAGTTAGTTTAAGCCAGGTAGAAAGGTATAGACTTCCTGGTTGAGGTCGTCGGGACGGTAAACACCAATGGCTGAAGACAATTTGTGATATGGCTCAAAATCATTCGCAATGGCGCAGATGCATTCACTACCTGTGACTTGTAATTTCCAATGAAACTATATTGTTCTTCGTCATTACTATTCCTTTTATCTCATATCCGTGTATACTGTCTCTATTGTACATTTCTTCTACTTTCTTCTGTTGTTTTGTGTGCTACATGTTATGTGGCGAGTTGAACTGCTGCACATCGGTGCAAAGTTCTATGTTGTAAACATACAGACTTCAGGGATGATAAAAACTGGCATTACACGGTCTTCTTGTATGCGTTCCGAAATTCTGTTGGCAACTTGGCGTATGAAGATGGTAAAATAATAATATTCACTCTACGATTAGAACTCGCAGTAAGTGAAGTAACCGAAACTCTTGATCAAGTCACTCTGTAGTTGATTTATGTATCAACGGAAGTGAGTCTTGTATTGTCATCTCATAATAGAAGAGTGGGAAACATGGCTTTACATCTTACTATTGTCCTCACTTAACCATTCCACCATATTTCAAGTTGATACAACACTAATGGATTGGTTAGGCTGTAAAAGAAGTTTTGTAGTGTATATGTTGTGAAACTATGGGCGAACCCATAAGGCTGCGGACCTGTGTTTCTCACACTAATTTATCACACTTATGGTAAGTTTATGGACAAGTCATATGAAGAATAAAAGACGGAACACTACATTATGAAACATAATAATTCCTGTACTGTGCTTAGAGCTACAAGGTCACTAAATATCGGCTGCAAACTTTGAGTGATGCAGTCCTAAACTGGTCACTATGGTACAAATTCAGTGAGTTATCCTCCTTTAAGTCTCGAACATCTAATTGTCCTACTAATATTTATATCTTATCCACATGTTTATTTTAACGTTTTCAGTTTTGTTTGTTTTTCCGTTTACTGCTAATGCAAAGTGTGACACCTATAAGTATGGACATTCTTATCAAAATTTGCCTTGTTCATATGTATATCATTAGCACTTATTGATTACATTTATCACTAGTGTAGTTTAAGATTATGTACTTCCTCTCTGACTGTATTCTCCCGACTGAAAGACAGCTGCTGGCGTATATTGTATTCTCTAACTGTTCAGAAGTATGTCTAGCGTCCTCTGCATTATCGAAGTCCATTGGTTGTTCCATTTAGTAGTGCTGTAGAAATTGAAAAATACAATGGTTTTCACCTATACCGTTTTTATAGTCGCGGTCATTGTTCGCGTAGACTGTGGCTTACATGATGCAGAAGGTATAGCAAATTCTGTATAATAATAGACAAATGCGCTTCCTTCTGACCAAACCCCAATCAGTGGTTATTCCAGTTTTTAGGAGTTAATTCCTGTTTATGATAACCAAAGTGGAAGTAGCTTGGTCAATGTATTTAACAGAATATGAAGTTTCATAATCATCTGACACCTAACTAGATTAGGGAAAATGTGAAGTCACCAGAAAGAGTAACTTTTCAGTGTCTTATGATTTTATTGACTGAATTTCTATGTGTTATAGGATTCTAAAGAACAGATGCACTCAAAGGTTCTCTTTTCTTGTTCTAACTTCCCTATTCAATAAGTACTTTGTCGTTGTCTTGTAAAGATGATTGTTAAGTTCATATTCGTTATGAGATTTATACCTAAACACTTGGCTGTTTACAAGTCCATGTTAAAGTGTCAAGCCATGCTCTCAAAGGTATTTGTTCTTTTTATTTTCAAATGATTTTATTATAGGTGTGTTCGTTGAAGTCTTGAAGTCTTTATCTCGTAGTAAATGATGTAGTATAGACGATACAATTCTATTACCTGAATACTGTAACAGCATGCAGCCTCCTAGATAAGCAATGTTGGTAACTGTTGTAAGGGTGATCGATTATTGCAAACATTGAATATATCTGCAATTATTACTTCCTGCAAACACTGCTTCTTGCACTCAGTTTTCAGATGTTGCATTTAGTCTTATTGCTATTCGTTTATCCCATCCGCATCTTCTCAGAATGAGTTTTGAACAGCGTCATGGTCCTAATATTTGATATTTGTTAACAAGAAATTTTTGATTGACATCGATGGAGGTTAATTGAGAAAAGTTTGGCATAACTAGGTACTTGGGTGCAGATCTCAAGACAACTATTTATTGAAATATTATGACTCTGGATGACTGTCCTAATCTCTGTAGGTGGAAAGAAATTTAGACTCATGAGGTGAACTGCCTGTGGCTATTATCCCACAGGGACAATCATCATGAAATATTTTTGGTACATGATATCACTTACTTGAATCAGTAAGACTTAGGTAACAGAAAACGCACTTCTGGAGTCATGTCACGTTTGTTTACGTACTTAGTTCATCTCTGTTTGTGAAAATGTAGGTTGTCAGGGTTGATACCGAGCCTCCAGTCAGTAAATTCTACTTTTTTAAAGGTTGTTACGTTGCTCTAAGAAGATCTTTCGTATAGTACATTTGATGAATCATTTAATGTACAATTCTGTATCAGTCACATGTGAATGATAATGGTCGGAATAGTTACATACTGAAAGATGCCGCCTAGTGTCCAGATTAAGGCAGTTCATGAAAAGTAGGATCTGCAAATCATTATAGACTATTGGATGAAAACTTGAAGGTGATAATAGTTTAAAGATTATAATTCCATCAAATTTCCACTTAAGATTATTATTATTATTACTATTATTATTATTACTATTATTATTATTACTATTGCTACTACTACTACTACTATTATTATTATTATTAGTTTCCCTCTGTTTATATGCTATATGTATTTTTTTAGAGTGTAATCGATATCGATTGAAAAATCTCAATTACTAAATACTGTTCCACAGTAGTTGAACATTACCTTGATTTCACAAACTTTTTAGTTTTCCTTAATAACACTAATAATGATTTCCCTATCTGGCTTATATTTAGATGTACAAAAGATCCCACTTAACACTGTTAATACTCCGCTCGTATTTGGCGTTGATCAATCTAATTCAAATCAGTCATATATTAGTATAACACCTCTATCTCAAAATACTCAGATCGCGGCGTCAAACAACATAGTTAATTCACTTCCGATATGTGTCATTTCTGATGTCCAGCTACTTCCAATTTCAGTTCTGCCTGCAGTCGTACCTCAGGCAGTAACCAAAGCACTCCAACTTCCAATTCAACCTGTACCACAGTTAACTATAGGCAATTCTACTGAAGGTTAGTTGTTCAATACATTTTTCATTTAAACATGAACTTGATACAGTATCTACAGCTAGAGATGCACCACACAAAAATAGTGCATAGGAAAGAAACGTAATAATTTAGGAACAGGATTAGAAGGCACTTAAGTAGTACTCGCAACTTCATATGAATTCCAGAAAAAGAAGAAAGAGGGAAAGTACGGCATATTCGCCATTTATTGCGGTTCTCAGACATATGTAGTAACGATTTGGGCCAGTGATTCAAATTACCTATCTCACTCCATCCAGGAACTCGTTATACCCGAACATATGCTAGCCTCACACAACTTTCACACAATTACCTTGATACACTAACTTATCTTTTTTACTTCTAACGGTTCACCTGCGAAGGTAATTGAGTGCACAGGCTGCTGCAACAGCACTGTTCATTCAGGCTGAGCGCAACACGGACACTGACGGCCAACTGATCAATTGCAAGTTGGACATAGCTCATAATCATATCAAGTTGATGTGTGATATGATTATGAACAATAAATTGTGCTCGAAACGTCATCAGTAGATATTACTGCATAACATTGTGTGATTTATCAAAATAAAATCTTATCCATAATGAAGTTATACAGGTTTTTGTGTCAGAGGTTAGGCTATTGCTCATTTTATAGAGATGCAAGGCAGTTTACATAATTAAACTGATTGTATAAATGTGTCTTTTTCTTATTTATTTTACGAATCCTTTTATTCCACTTTTCAGGGGTTACCTTACAGTGGACAATTACATACCCTGCTATACCGTTCGAACCCGCTGTTGCATATGAAATATACAGTCATACTACATCTGATACGGCGTTAGTGTCTTTTCAAATGCCTTTACCCTGGAATAAGGTGTGTGTTACTATCTGTTTACGTAGTCTTCATAACTAGTTCTGTTTACTGTCTTCACAATTTCACAAGGTACATTTCGGTTTTTGTACCAGTCAGACTGCTCTCTATACCCCGAGGTTTTCATTCACCATGATTGACGTTCTTTTCACTTTTGCTGTACTTATAGTCCTTGTAAACTCGGCTTTCATGGCATATAATCTAGTGATACTGGGTTCCTAACTTTTGGTACATCTTGCAGTGATTGTTAATAGAAATTAAGTGACCAAAGGCTAAAAGTTCACATACATTTTCCTTGTGTCATTTATTTACAAGGTTGCTAACTAGAACAGTGTACAGTATGTTAGCGTTAGCTTATGTTGCATCACTTTACTGACATTTTTGTGGGATGTAAAAATTCTAACTAGATGAAATTCACAACCACTCTGACAACTTCAGGAAAATCACGTGATTATAAGTGGTGAAGTTTACCTGTAAATATAAACTGAATCACATTTCGTAGGTGATTAAGTCACTTAGTAGGTCTACCTTTATATCAATTGCGGGATTTAGCAATTATTGTGCAGCGATTTTCGAAAGCGTTCAAAGTTATCTTCATGTATTACAATCATACGGTTTGATAGCGCGTAGCAATGAGTCATAAATGGAATAATTTTAGTAACTTTTCTTTTACTGTTAAGCACTGCTTCACCATCGTTATTGGTAGCTACATACTTATACTTTATTGTTTGTATATACGGTATTTCCAAAATAGCCTTTCTATGTACATAAAGCTGAGTTTGATTATTCTTTGTAAGTTACTTAGTGGTGTGTGAGTTCATTAGTGCTTACCCTCCATATTAAAGACTATATTAATGATGCATCTATATTATATTTGATTGCTTTTTTGTTATTCCTATAAATCGTTTAGATTGGTGAAGTGGCTGCCCTTCCCCTGCCTATGGCCTGTACATTGAATCATGTTCAACCAAAGTACATGTATTATTTTATTGTAAGGTCAGTTGATCGACTGCATCGATATAGTCCTTGGTCAAATGTTGTAAATGCGTATGTGGCTTGACAAAAGAAATCAATGCCAATGCCGCCATGTACCCTTTGTCGGTGATTCTTCAAGATTATTATTACACTAACAGCATTTACTTACTAATTATTTCTTTATAGGTTTATCTTCATGAGAGTCTAATTGTATACCTTGTTTTATTTCTCAACACCAGGTGTGTTTGTATTTATTTTGTGTTAAGATTACTTGTTTTCTGATACTTTTGTGTATTGTATGTGTAACTTTGGAAATTAAAATAAACTTCACTTAAAATATTCGAGCAGTTTTCAGGTCCTTTAAAAGTTTTACACAAAATAAAAAGTAGACCACGACTTCTACAATCCGAAAATTCAATTTTCCGATATCTATGGGTTTGTGTTACATGCTTGACTGTCTTCAATGAAGTGAGGAAAAGACCACTGGGAATGTTTAAGTATCAACAGGCTTTTGGAATAAAAGCATCAGTCTGACTTCTAAGATATTTTATATACGTTAATGGTAAGCATTTTGCTTCATTCAGGTGTTTGCATGATATCTGAGGACTATGTGTATGTCAAGTGAAACTGCCAGCAACCCATATGATCACCTTGGACAATTTAATTATTAATTGTGACGAAGATGGACGAAATTGTATTTTGGTTAATCAACAGTCATTTCATTGCTTGTATTCTCTGTGACTGACTCAGAAACAAAAGTGTTTTATTTAGACGCGCTATACACTAATTTCATACTGATAAAACTACAATATTCAAGTTTATTCGGATAGCCTTCATAGACTTGAGAAACACACAGTATACAGTTTAATTTCAGTACCTTACCTATATGAAATGTAGGTTATGTGACTGAAAGTCTTCATTCATCTCAGCTTATATTTCATTAACAAGTTAGCAGTTGCGCTTCAAAACAAGTCATCGATTATGTAAAGACTAGTTTGGAGAAGTTTGAAATTGGGCGACAAAGATTATAATACTTATATTAAATGTCCAACAGATATCTACAGAATAAATACATGTGCAACTACCAAGCTAACTTTAGTGTCTCGAATTCCTGCTAACTGGGTTATTAAAAAATGATCATAAAGTCCATCATCCCACTCTTGGTATGGTTTGACTTGTCTTCGAGTATAGCAATATGACAAAATATTTTCTAAGATCCAAACGACGACCACTCTGTTAACAACTTTCCTAGGAGGAGAATCCACTAAAATTCTCAAAATAAAACAGCTATAATATGTCATAGTTTGAGAACCATTATTATGCTATACTTTTATAGCCAAAAATAACGTTTATTTCAGTCAGAAATAAAATCAACTGCACAAGCATCGTAACGCTAAACTAATCCTGTCCGTAGTCACTTCATTGACATTATGGTCAATTTCTACAGACAATTCTACCAAAGGGCTGTAATACACACTCAGGCAAACATCACAACATGTCCACAATCATCGAAAATTGGACTCACATATGCACAAACATCAATTCCTAATCATTACAGAATCCAGTAACAAATCAAACATTCATGTCTCCCTGAATAACAAATAATCTGCATAACTCGACAACCAATTTTCATCACTCATTGGAAAGGTGATAGCTACAACCAGATCTATAAACTTTCTCTTCAACTCTCTAAAGGGAATCATAACTACATCGTACAACACGGTCTGTAAAACCAACAGAGGCAGTCAAATCAATCAGTCAAGACGCAGTAGGATTAGAAATCCACATGAACAACGGCTTCAAAACTTACCAACCTCATACTTTAATTTCCATTGACAATTATTATAAAATAACAGCAATTAAGTAGCAAGAATCCATTCTCCGTTGTTGCTCGGTTTCCACTAAAACCAATCCGAGTGCATTATTGATATAAGTGTAAAACTTCGGCTTTCTGGTAGAGTATAATTCTATAATGGATGAAATTTCAATACTAGTGCAACATAATATGACATATTCGTCCTCATTTAGCTTACAATGAACAGTGATCCATCCACCATCTAGAAGGTAGCTGACGTGAAGCTGGTAAAAAGAATAAACTCCATATGCCTACCTTGCGGAAAATTTATTTTCAAGTATTAGTATTGTAGGGATTTTGTTCGATTGGTTGGAGGATTTCATCATGAGCTGACATCAGTTAGAGAACCATTGGAAGTACTGGATAGCGGTTTCGTTCTAGTTTGGGACTCTTCATCAGTGCGCACTCACCGGGGTTATTTATTTATTGGAATATCGACGGGGATCTTGTCTTGCTTTGTTAATGTTTGCATGATTCTAGAAAACAAAACACTAAAGCTCGTGCATTCAAGTGATGGAATTCGTCTTTACAAACCACTTTGTTTTGGTATATGGGAAAATAAAAATAGATTTTGTATCACAGTGACCCCAGAAATATCTTGACCATAACCTTTTCAAGCCACAATGTTACAAGACTCAAATTCATCAAGAGTTTAAGTTAAGCTACTATACTACACATGCTATTCTGAAGCCCAAATAGTTTCCACGTACTTTGCAAAATGCTGTCATTAGCGTTTCAAACGTCAGTCATTGGCCTCGAAAGCGTTATCAATGTTTACCTAAGAACTACATCTTACACTAGATAGAAAAATGACAACCCTAATTTTTTCAAAGACAAATTTTAAATGAAGCGCCCTAAAATCCGTGATTAATGTTACTTGCCTAACTGATAACGTTGATTCTTGAGACGTTCAGATGGTTTTCCCTGAGTGTTAATCAGAGTGGTCTATACCGTTGATTACCTAACTTTGTTGCAAACATACCAGAGTGAATAGTCAATTGGAAGACTTTACTGTCACAAATAAGACTTTCAGGGCAGTTTGATGTAATAATTTTGGAGAAATGTGCCAAAATATCGGCATTCTCTACATATGCCATGAAACTTTTTATTTGTGATGGTCACCATAAAAGATTTCTCTTAGAAGCAAATGAACGCCGTATGACCAGAAAGTAAGCACGTGAGATGTTTTCAACCAACCCATTCATTTAAACTTGAAAACTGTGAGACAATGAAGACTGAACAGAATATTTTCACCTAAGTATTTCTAAATTGTACTTCCTCTGTATTATTTAAAAGCTGTGTAACATATTGTCAATGTCAGAAATATTGTTTTGGAAATAACCCAATACACTTTGAATCGACAGTAGCTGAATTCAAAAACAGAAACACTGATGTCGTTAACCATTGAAGGGGTGGCTTCTAGGAAACCGATTAGTCACGCTGCTTGAACGACTTCGAGCTCGTTTCCGATCGGCTTCAATTAGAAATAACTCTCACGATTGTTGTGTGGCCATCTATCCTATTAGACCTGAGCTTTAGCCCCACTACCTGCTGACACTTCAGCCTGGTGGTCAAGGGAGGATATAACTCTCACAGCTGTTCAAAGGTGTATTTATTAGCGATGATAGGAATAGATTATAGGGACAGACAATCACACCGTAACGCCTCCGCTGAGCTCTTTTCCCTTGAGAATCATATTGACCACAATGTGTTTCAATCCGCACAGATAAACAAATTGATCGTTGACAGTGAAACGGCTGAGGTTCAATTAACTTGCGGAACTTCTTCAGTCTCCTACAGGCTTTAGTGCCTCTACTTTCCATCTATGTCAAATATTGAATAGTTCTTAAATTCTCTTGGAGTCTTTCGTTCAATTTATCAGTTGAAGGTGGCTGGATTATAGGCAATTCGTACCATTTAGTCAGAATGGTCAATAAAGGACAGTTGTATTTTGGTAATTTGTTTTCCATGCCTGGAGACGGTCTAAACGCTAAGATACATATGAGTTATGATCAGTGAATTTAATGATTTTCCCATAACTTCCTGGAAAACATCAACTCAAATAGTTGGGGGTCTGAAAAGTGTCTTGAAGGATATAAGTTGTTTACTATAATCGGTACTATATCACCCTGCACTTCTCCCCATTTCTCAAGCGTTCTGCTGACAAATACCCTTTGATTTTTCAGGACTAAATAACCTAGAACAATACCTCAGTAAGTAGGACGAAATATATCAAGAAATATGGTTGGGACCAACTGTTTTCATTGCTATTGATTAGGCTGGACGACAGAATATTTCGTACTATGTACACTTAAAATCAATTCAAATACTAACTTCTCTTAAATGTTCGATTTTTGCTCGTTGCTACTCAATAAGTTAAGGATAAATTATTTAATCACCTGACAACCTATCTGACCAAGTAGATTTAAGAGTTTGTGATTGGAACTTAATTATTATTCAATGTTTCAACGTGATACGCTATTTCCAAGCTAAGTTTTCATTGTTGGAACATCAGCCCACAAAAATTCTTGTCAGCCTTTCATATACAAATAGTCAATGACTATCCAGCTAGACAGATAAGAAAGCCTCTATATTGAAATATCTGATTCGCAAATCGTTAAATTTCAAGGTCATGCGTTGTTTCGGACTAGTGTCTGTCATACCACGCTCACTATCTCTGTGTATACGTAAATAATTAGTAACTGTTATATGGGTTTGAACGCGACTGATTGCTACCACGCTGACGGCTTGCACTATCATTTCTAAGTGAAGAATACCGATCATATTACAATAAGCCTAATCGTCCAAAACTCTAATTGCGTCAATATATGTGATCCGGGAGTTTACATTTTAAAAGCGAAAATCGCAGTGACTCTGGATAACAAATGATATTGACACAATTAAAGTCTTGGACGATTAGGCTTATTGTAATATGATCGGTATTCTTCACTTAGAAATGATAGTGCAAGCCGTCAGCGTGGTAGCAATCAGTCGCGTTCAAACCCATATAACAGTTACTAATTATTTACGTATACACAGAGATAGTGAGCGTGGTATGACAGACACTAGTCCGAAACAACGCATGACCTTGAAATTTAACGATTTGCGAATCAGATATTTCAATATAGAGGCTTTCTTATCTGTCTAGCTGGATAGTCATTGACTATTTGTATATGAAAGGCTGACAAGAATTTTTGTGGGCTGATGTTCCAACAATGAAAACTTAGCTT